AAAAAGATAAAACATTTTCTTGTTTTGAGAAGAGGCCACATCATTACATGTGGTTTCTTCTTTAATATATATATAGATTTGTGTTTAATTTTAAATTATAATAAGTATTTTATACAATCACCGAAATAATTTAAGTCTTACCACTATGAGTCATCGCCTCATTCACACGATAATTAATAAGTTTGTGTACCATTTTTTAGATTTCATATGTTTTCTATTTCTTTTATTTTTTGTTGCATCAAAATCTGACTTTCTATTTCGATTTTGATACGTCATAGAATAATATAATATATTATGTACGTATTCTTATTAAATCATGTATCATGTCAAATTTTATGTTACCAAAACATAATTTCATTATTATGTGATCACTTTTACGTTAAATCTGAACCATTAATTCCATTGCTATTGAATAATCAAATAACAACAGAGTTGATAGTTTGTTGTGGGTATCAAATAAAAGATGACTTTATTAGTTTTGATTCATTAGAAAATGTGTAAAAAGTTAAATGTTAAGTTCTTCTTATTCGTTAAAGGACAAGTTTGATACATATAACTGAATAGGATATGGCGCAACAAAACTCAATAGTCTTGTTTACATGTCAAACGCTACATCAACGTTGTTAAAATACAAAAACCAAAAGGGAAAGGTTGTACAAAACCCAATAAAAAGCATCTTTGTTAAAAGATGTTATGACAATTCCTGAATGGTTTGGTGCAAAATGATTAATAAGCTCTCATGATATAGTACAAAAAAAAATATAATTGTTTGATAATTGTTTACAATGAAATTATGACGCATAATGGTTAAGGGAGGCCCATGATACAAAATCATTCAGAGGGTTTTAAAACCATTAAGAGACAGATTTTTTTTGTCAAACAAGATTCCCCTCTTAACGATTCAAAAGTTGCTTCTTAATGGAACTATTAAGAAGTAAACGAACAACCCCTTAGAGATTTTGTCTTATGCAATTGATTTGAGTGATGCAATTGCAAACTAAAGAAACCTTTGTGAAATTTTTGAGAATTTATACCCAGATGCTCCATCATCCTCCCTCTATATTTCAATGCAAAATGTCCTATCCACTCTTTTCCTTTCTCCGATTCCGATTCCGATTCAGAGGAACCTAACATGCAAATTTTCAAACACCCTTCTCACATGTACAATTATTGTATCTATCCTTCACGATTTATTGAAAACGGAAACTGAAAACGAACAAAGAAAGCTAAAGGGCGGGAGACGAAAACCGGAAATTAGAAGTAGGGTTTAAAGATTACAGAACTGATGATTCTGTCTCTATATGTATATATGAAACTGTACACAAGTTACTTAAAAAAACATATCATTTATTGACACAAACAACAAAAACAGAAAACTCAAAACCATGTACACTCCCCAACACATACAAATTGGAACACATTTCAACCCTTTCACTTATGTTCCATACAAGTTTTTTTTAACTTACCATTTATCACTTAATTCAACATACACTTCCTTTATCCTCAAAAAATAGTATATATTTTATATATATCAGGTGCAACTTATTCTTAAATACCTTTCTAAGCATGCCCCATATCCCCCACCTCATCAATCAACCATCTGAAACAAAACATTCTGCCTTTCAGATTAACGGAAACGCAAATCTTTTAGGAACAAAACGAAGAAAAACCGTATAATACCTGAAGAATATCTGTAGAGCGACACTAACACCTAAAGAGGAAAGCGTTTTGTGATGGGGCATACCTAGCTACACCAAATATCCTGCACATTATACACACTCAACTTCAATGAATATAGCAGCAGCATGCATCAAAAATTAAAAACTAGATGATCGTGTACCCCAGTAATTTATGCCTTTCAGCAGTTTGTCATCTACCAAAAATACGACAATTGCATGCAAACACACCAAGATTCGTACACATACTCCTTATGCAGGAGCAGAAGACAATGGAGACAGTCCTCCCCACCCCCACCATGCACAGAGGATGGGAAAAGGGGCAGCAGGGGAGGGGTAGGTGTAAAAGTACAAAGAAAGCGTAATATGACATCTTGGCCTCTTAGCTCAGTTGGTTCGGGAATAATGCTAATAATGGGAATGTTTCATGTTTGAGACTTACCTATGTGAACCTTTTCGCATTCTTACTTTTAGTTATAATGCTATTTCTTGGCACCCCCAATTACGATGACCATGTTCTGCCACTGTCCTTATGGAAGGTACTTGTTTTCTCATACAATCTCCCATAATTTTATGCAAGCAAGTAAATGCTTAAACTACAATCAATCGAATTTAGTTAGCATTCGTGGACGCCATGTTGGCCTATGTTCAAATTACTTTTAGCAAAAATTATTATATTGCCAATAAAAGGAATTTGACAAGAGAAAAGAATAGTTTTTCAAAAATATAAACAGACAAGTCTAACTGTAGTGTTGGTTGAAATCTCTGTTCTTTAGTAACAAAAGGGTGAAACAGGAAAATAGTATGGCAAACTTCCTTTAGCAAGCAATCCACGTCCAGAATGCCACGAGAGGGGGAGAGAGACCCTGAATTACGCGTAACATGTCAAATCAAAACAATTAAGCAGGTAAATAAGCATGAATATCATTTTCATGATACTCAAATTGAGTTCCACCATAACTTTGCTTTACTTTTGGTCGATACTTTCATATAATGATATTCAATTCTACGACTTTACTAGAGCATATATACTAAACTCAGATGAACCACAAACAAATGCAACATCACAAGTTTGAGTTAACATATCAGACCACAAAAAGATGCAAGTTAGATGCACAAACTTGAGCAAAAATCATTGATTTAATCCCACAGAAGCCTAACAAAAACTAACCTGGAAGTTAGACAGCATTTTTCACCTTATGCGCATTCGGTTGAGGAAGTCTGACAGCCTGTAGACATTATTGATATCTGTGAGTAGGTTGAAATAAACAGAAAACTGACCAAATTTATTCAATAATGCAAAAGGAAAATTTGTAAAACCTAATATCTTTAGCAATTACAGTCTGTCCATCTTCATCCCCAAGATGACGCAAAACCACTTCTTCTAGACGACCATCACGGTATGCATGCTGTTAATAAAATGGAAGACATGACCAAAAACTTTCTATGTTAATTAAGATAACTGGAGCAAGACCTCAAAGTAAAGTACATTGCTGAAGAGAACATCACAGAAAAACAACCAAGAACATGCAATTAGAACTGTAAACCTAATGCGCAATTGCACCACCTCTTAATTAATGTTTGTACCTGCTACCATCATATCAGAAATTTACCATTCACGCAAGCAGAATTAGAGATTAATGTAACAGGACCGACACCTAACCACATAAATTATGCAGAAGTAATCCATCCAAAACTGTGCCAGATAAACCTCACTTTGGCTGAGAGATACTACTTCATGAAAACAAACTAAAATCATCATACAAAAAACAAATCTCTTCTTTTACATAATCTGAAAGTTATGGTTTCATATGTTCTCAAAAGCCAGCTCATCCAGAAACATCACTGAAGTAGAAACTGCTATACTATAGCTTCTCAAAAATTCAAAGTACCCTATATCCCTCTCATTTGATTGCCATCACTATGTTCCTCCTATAGACTTTCATCACTCTGGCTCTCCACTTTATGCTCCCATTTGCAAATCAAGGATGCTTAATAGAAAAGTTAATGTCTCGTCGGCAATTATTGCATTGGCCAGCTGAACATCACTGGTGTCACCTTCTATGTCATCATCCATATTAGTCTCCATTCCTTCCAGATTCACACCATCAGAGCTTTATATTTTATATCACTGACATCTACCATGCATAATGCCACTATTAGAACCGAGAAAAGTGCTCACATCAATATGCTTGGCCTGATAGCGGGTCAGAACATAACAACTACTCCACTTATCTCTCTTTGCTACTATTTCCTCACATGTTAACTTAGATCAACCTCTACCTCCTAGTGACCTTGGTACCTGTCTCTTTTCCCTGTACATTCAGAGGCCCATCTTATAGATGACTACGCGAGTTTGTAGAAGTCAATCTAAGCTGCCTCCTAGCCGCCACAGGTTGGCAATTAAGGGTAGAGCAGTTACAAAGCCAAACTTTGTAAAACTGAAGCAAAGTCGATATGTTAATATGTTATATACTAACATTTAAAAAAAAGAAGGCAACACCAAACACAAAAGACTCTGAATTAGAAAGTCTTTATAGTTTTGTTCCTTCAATTAAAGGATAAATTGCCATCAATTGTCCCTTAAATTTGGATTGGAAAAAAAAGCATCATGAATGTGTGTGAACTAGAAAGCCAGAACATATTCCTTATCGTCCATTGAAAGTTCAATTTGAGCATATTGGACAAAATACATTGGTAACTATGTTGACAAACAGATTGAGAAATTGGGACCTCAAAATGTTGTCCAATTAGTGACCGACGATGCATTGACTAACATGGCAGCAGCGAGAATGTTGTCGAAAAAGAGACCAAATACCTTTTTGTCATCATCTCAAATGCATACCCTTAATCTCATTCTTGAAAAAATAGGGATGCTATTAACTTTTAACCTTTTAACATTATCTAAAGTAGTTACCTATGTTTTTTTCCATTTAAACAAGCTTCCAAATTTCAACTTTCTGGTTGAAAGGACAAAATTCATATATGCTCATTACAAGACTTTGGTTGATGGGAAAGTTTACAAAGGAAAGAGTTAGACCAGGTGACATGAGATTTGCAAAATTGTTTTCTAACAATAGAACGCATATACGAGAAAAAGAAAAAACTGAAGTTTCTGTTGAATGAAATTAGTGCAAGTGGTCTACAACTGCAAAAGCAACAAAGTCATCCAACCAGTGACTTTGCAAGGGCCAAGCTAAAGCAAATGCATCAGTTGATGTGACAAAATAACATTAAAGGCATGTGTATTCCATGGCAGTGTCGTGCCAAGACGAAAGTACAGAACTATACGCTAAATTTTGTAGTTATGTTGATAAACAGAGAAAAGTTTCCTAAAGTAAGGAAAACCTTGAACGACATCAAACCACGGAACATAAAAGGACAAGGATGGCTCGAGAATGAATGTTGTTATACCATCTTGGTTCAAGAGCATTAAATAATCTCTTATTTTCACTTGTAAGGCACGAGAATTTAGGACCTCTCACCCTCCAATACTCATGGAAGCACTTATCTAGAAAATGGAATGATGGACTAGATCATGAACCTAATTAGAACTACAGTATCAATAATATGTTCCAATACAGCAAAATAAGCCAAAACAATGATATAATCACTATTCCCATCCTTATATTGCACAAAGTGATACATAACATTGTAGATCAACAGTTAAATTTGCACTTACCTTGTAAAAACAACTCGTTCCAAATGGGCACGCCCCATTTCCAAAGTCAAAGTGCCTGCAGTCAATAGACCTGCGAGAGAAGGTAGTTGATAATTAAACAAAAAATCATGAAACACACTATTGAACTAAAAGGACATGCTTACGAGTTACAACAAAGTCATCACAATGTTTCTTCCACATAGACATGTGAACAACACTTTCAGCATACAAACAAAAGAAAAGTTCAAATTATAATCAACACAGAGGAATTACGATGACCATGCATCATAGTATTACAAAAGCTAATAAAAGAAAAGCTAATAACCTTCTTGCACAAGCAATGATAGTCCAAATTAGCTTAGCCATGTGAGAGACCTCCAATCCCAAAGACCTCATGATCTTTGTGAGTTAGAGTCATCATGCTTACTAATGCAAAAATCAAAAACAGCTTGTGTTCAGGCGGGGTAAATATTTTGACAAACATGTTAGTTGGACAATCGTGGAACAGACATCTTCAGAAGTTGTTCCTGGCACACCTGTTAGACATTGCAGACAGGGGCAGCTAAGGCCCAATAGAATCTGTAACATATTGACCTTCTATTCTACCCGCATCCTTGGAAATTGGAATGAACCAATGAAATGTGGTGAGGGAAATCACATCACATTGTGAAGTGCACACGTTTCAGTCATCAATTGCAAGCTGTTATTAAGTTCAGTAATGAGGTCAAAACACTGGCTAATGTTGTTCAGGCATAGCATTAATTCTAGACGACTCTTTGTGGCAAAATAAACTGTAATATTAGGAACACATGTAGAGTGCACAAATGGATTGGCATCAGCCATCAATGATGAAAGCGGGAACTAGGGAATCATATATAGAATAACAAAATGGTCATCAAGTGCACCTATAGTTCTCTGGAACACCTTTCAGGACAACAAAAATAGGTCCATCCATTATGGTTAAGCTCTTAGAGACCCTAGAGAATCATGGCAGAGCGTGTTCTTTTAAACCATTTAATTACCATCTAATGGTTTAATCTAAATAGGTCAAGGGCAGAGGTATGATAGTCTACAGTTGAAACACTTGCTTAACAAAAAGCTCGATTTCTCATCATATAACTAATTTTCATTTAAGTTAAAATTATTAATGGCAGAATTTGTGTATGAGTAAGAGATGCTAGCTTCAAAAAATGAAACCCTAAGTCTGTTTGACAGTTCTGTTTGCAAAATGCTGTCAAACATGGTTTTAAATGGATTAAAGTAGGATTTTTTTTTTGCACTGAATGACGAAACATATTATTCAGTGACTTTCTTATTTATTAGCATACATTTTGATGGAAAGGCATATAGGCTCCCAATTTTAATGTTGGCCAACCAGCTTCTTGATGGTTACCATTTTTATTCCAACCTCTGGCTTTAGGTTAACTATCAGAACCTTACAACTATGAAATCCAGATTACACAAGATGTTCGGTCCAAACCTTAAAACTGCATATAAACATGCATCATGCATGTCCAATATTAATTCTATACGATACTCAGATAGCCCATAAACCAGAGGGCCAGAGCCATCAAAAATTTAGGTCTTTCAAGTTCCAACTGAACTGGTAACATTGGTAGCACAAGTAGTAGCTCATATGTCTATGGATAAATGACAAATATGTTTCATAAGTAATATAAGCTCAGAACCGTCTATAAACAAAAGATCACGAAGGAAAGCAACAGCAGATATGTGATCCCTAGTAATAAATGGTGTGCGGTCCATATGCATTATTAACTCATTAGCCCTAGATACACAAATGGCAGTAAAATAAGAAAGATGGGGATATGTGTCTTAAAGAGCTAGTTCACAAAGAATCACGAACAACAAGTCCTTTTATCCCAACTGAGTACAGGTGGGAGTAAAGAAACAAAAGGAACTGTTGAGCAGCCAGACAAAATAAAATGCATAAGAAGGCAAACCTAGGATCTTAAGAAATTAATGGCTCCCTCCACATGCTCCTATCTAAGGCCAACTCCTTTGGCATAATCCATTAGGTGAAATCTTTGTTCACTACCATCCCCAATAGGCCAATATTACTCTTGGCCAACCTACCTCTCATAACAACGTCTTGATACAAGTCTTAAGCTTCTAATCAAGACATATTGACGATCACCAAACCTCCTCAGGTGGTGTGGCCTCAGCTTCTCATTGAACATCACCACCCCAACTTTTTCCAGATACATTTCATTTTAATTCTATCNGGTGTGGCCTCAGCTTCTCATTGAACATCACCACCCCAACTTTTTCCAGATACATTTCATTTTAATTCTATCCATCACTGGTGACACGTCCATCTCTATATTTGCATTTATGCTACACTTAACATGTGTACATGTTGCCTTTTAGCGACCCAAAAATTTACCAACAAATGGAAGCAGATCATATTGTTGCCCTACAAAGCTTGCCTTTCATATTCAATGGACCTTTCCGACCAAACCAAGTCTTCTAAAATGTTTTAAGTTTTACGTATCTTCTGACTCCCTATTGACACCGTTAAAGTTGCATTTCATTTACCATTTTTCATTTTGGCTTGATCTAAAATCTTCAAATTCCAAAGTGCTCCTGTCCTCTATACTTGCATGTTGCATCTTTGTCAACATGATATCATTGGTGAAAAGCATAAGCCATGGTATAGTGTATATCATATATGTCCTTTATGTCATTCAGAAAGAGGACAAGGACTTGACACTTACCACCAATGTAATCCTATACTAACAATCACATGCTTTCATGTTTGTTACTTTATCATCATAGATATGCTTAATCACATTTGCATAGATTATAGGAACTTTCCTATCAAGAGTCTACTACATCACTTCCCTTGCCACTAGATGCATTTTCTAGATCAACAAACAACCTATGCATACTGTATCTTCCCACAAGACATATAATTAAATTTATTGGAACAGAACCATTTTTATATTCCAGCACCTTAGTCTCAATCCTTAGCATACACTAAATATCCTTTATATCCCAGGAAAACATTCTTTTTCCACCCTATGAACACAGCAAATAACTATGTTCATAGTGCAATGGAAAATTCAACCACTAGAGTGTTACAAAAGTTACACAAAATAACACCATTAACACAAGGTTTGGTGGTCTGTGTGTGATAGAACGAGATAGATTTTCACCCACACAACCTTACACCAAACAAGCACAGCTGCAGGCATGGGATCCATAATCTGACACTTCTGATGTAGAAAGAACTAATTTAAATATGACAAGATATAATTCGGAATAGATATATAATGATGGTCAGACAACTATACCTGAGTCTTGCTTTGTAGCTATCTACAATTTCCTGCTTCTCATCTTTTGTTGCATACCAAATCACACTAGGAATAACGAAGTACGAAAGTTTCCTACATATGGGGCAGGACCTTAAAGCAGAATTCACATCCATTCCAGATGTTGGGGAACTACTGCGCCAATTCCTGATGCATGATATACAAAACGGATGATCACATTCTGATAGCAACCCAAACTTCCGCTCAGCTGCTGTTGGCTTTGAAAGTACACGTTCAAGGCAAACACTGCATTCTATTTCTTGACTGTGTTTTAACGCCTCAAGATGCTTATGCTTCTTCTCGCAACTTTTTTTATGTTCCTCCCTCTCATCTGGTCTGAAGGGGTGCAAGCATTGTTTTCTGCATGTAGGGCATAAATCCCCATGGACATGAGGGCAATTTTCTCCACGAGGACAACTACCAGCAGCAGCAAATGAACACATCACAATGTCTGCGGGATTAGTACTCCTTGATTGCCCAATAACATCATTTAACAAATCATCCTGCCCAGAACCTTCACCCCATGCAGGTTTTGCAGGAGATATATAAGGTCTACTTGAAGCAGAAAGCTCCCCAATCACACCTGGCACTGCAGTTGCAGATGCCGAAGATGCATTAACAGATTCCGAATCAGCAAATTGGTAAGGATATGCGGATGACGATGCAGAAGTTTGCCGTTGAGAGACCTTAACATGGTCATATCTGCAACGGCTACCATATGCACAAGCTCCTTTTTGATAAAAGGTGCACACCTGTTAATGGTATAACAAACAACCAGCCACAACGAGTGCTAAGGATCAAGATCTATTACGAAATAATCGAACATTTGGTGCGAGGGCAAACAAGTAATAGAAATTGTACGTTATTGGCCGGGTCCTTCCAGTCATGTGAGAACTCACAATGCTCCCCTTTCAGGCATGCTCCATGAGCAAAGAACTTGCAGAGCACCCTGGAAAAAAGAAAGAAAGTCAAACTTCAAACAAAATCCGATAGCCTTGTCCAGACAGAAGTGGCATAAAATGGTAAACTTATATTTCACCTTAGCCCCCAGCCACGCAATGTTACTCATACCCAACTTAGTCAAGCTTCTTACGCTAAAAGAATGAATGAAGTAAATACTAAGCCTGAAATATGCCTTGTTACCGCTCCTAATCTCCTACTTGATGGATTGTTCAAGAAAAACGCGAGAAATAATTAAGCTAGCAATTCCAAGTCACGCATAATCTGTTACAAACGCATAGAAACAAATTCTTCCTATGCTAATATGTCCGTCAATGATAGTTCAGAATCCAGGCTTTACATACCTCAAAGTGAACAAAAAAACCACCATCAAGTTTCTAATTTTTGCTCATCATGAGAAGAGAAAAATAGGAAACACAAACTCAGCTGAATAACCAAGAATAGCCTAATCAAGCATAGTAATCACAAAGGAGCTGGTTCATATACCCAAAAAACTCGAAAGGGCCATGAAAAGACTCGTCAGAAACCGTGTAATTCGTCAATTTGTAAGCGCAAACAGAAATCGAGATAGATGAGCAAAAGGAAAATTAAAGCAGAAAACGAATTAGATAGATGAGGAATCGCAATCAAAAATACCTGGTCCGATTTCCCGGCAAAGACATGATGTAGAAAATTTTCACCTTTCAATAATCTTCATCGGCGGATGTGTTTTTTTAGGGTTAAACGAAAATGAGTTTGTGTTTCTTGAGGATTTCTACATCCAAACCTCCCCTCAAAGGCAACCTTTGGGGATGATTACAACTAAATTACAAAATCAACCTTTGACTATGTGTCAATGTCTAGTTTCCCTCCTTTTGACTTTTCATTCTATTGTAACGGTGGTATTAAATATCAACTATCGTATGTCGGTTAAAACGGTTATCTTCTTGCTACAAAGGTGTCGGAGCCTAATTTTCACCATTTTACATTAAACGAAGCCATAGAACTTGACGTTCCTTGTAAGATCAGAAGTCTTCCACGCAGAGCAATTCATGATGTGTTGTCAGATAAAGTTAAAACAATAATCTCGTTCACGTTGTCTTGTAGTTGTGTCTTTTGTGATGGTACTTCGAATAATATGCGACATTTGTTTGTTGATTGTCCATTCACAAAGCTGGTTTTGAGGGAGGAAGGTCGTTGGAAATTGATTATTGAAAACCTTGATAAAGTTGGTGATTTTCCATAACTTTTCTTCTTTGCTTTGGTTTCATGTCTTTCGTATTACAAATCTTCTTTATGATCATCTAGACCGTTTAGAGGTTGAGATATGTTATATTGTGGTAATAGTTTAGTGGCAACTTCTCAAACGGTGCATAGGCCACAAAATTGAAGTCTCATATGCTATGTGTTGCGACTTCTGCTCCTTGTGCGTTATGGCATAAGCCTCCTTTGAATTTTGTCAAGTGCCACATAAATGCTACCATGTTCGATATATTTCTATTGCATGATTGGTTGTGTTTTGTGAACTAATGATAAATTAATGGTTGCCCAAACATCTATCATGGGTGGGTTTCATTAGTTAAGGATAGTGAAGCTCTTGTACTTATTAAATATGGCATGGATAGGTGAATTTGGTTTTCAGATGGTGATTTCGAATCAGATGTCAAATAAGTTGTAGATGATATACATTTTTCAGGGGATAACATATTGATTTTGGGGATACTATTTCAAGATGTAGTATTTTGCTCTTTCAACAAGACTATTCCTCTATTTGATTTGCTAGGTGACAAGCTAATAGAGTTGTTCATGTTTTGGCACATAAATCTAATTTCTCTTGTCTTGTCTGTTATGTTTTATCGCTTTCCTTTTTTGAAAATTTGATGCCTAAATGGGACTCAATATTGATATTTTAATTTTAAAAGAAAACTATTAAATATAGAGTGAAGGATCGTGCGAGAAGGGAAGTTACGGTAAGAAGCGTAAGAAGAGATTTAAACCCTGGATCACTTTTAATCTCATGTCTAGCTATGAATTGCACTTTATTAAGGGGATTGATCTGATGCATCTCGGTGCACCTCATTAGCGTTGACATTCAATTAGGATTGATCCAAGAGTGGAGATCTCTTCTTATGCTTCTCACAATAACTTCTTTTTTCATCGGAACCCAACCTATATATAGTTCTACATATATAGAAAATATGGCAATACATTTATATATTTGTATTTATATTTCTACTACATCATCAAATACTAGGCAAAAAAATCTTGAAAATAACTTATTAAACCTTAAGTATTTGCTTATTAATGCATAATATCTTGAAATTAAAGTTTACAATTTACCACTGCGTACTTACAACTTTCTAAAGTATGAGAGTGGTTGATTCTTCTAAACAAAGGCAATAGCATGGAATGCTTCATATAGGACATGAGAAATTGTTGGGTTGGATTTGATAACAGGAATGGCTAGGGCTTCAGAGTTATAAGCAGAATGCTTATTGGTTTGTAGGCTTGGGGGTAATGGGAAACAACCACCAAGTAGTAAGATTTGGTGTTCATCATGGTAGGAGATGAGGGTTCTTTGTTGATATCAATATTGAGGGATTTATGGCTTAAAGAACATGAGGAAACATAATGGGAAGAGGCTTAGGTGGTAGAGTGTTGGGTTGTACCTTGATCATTACCCCTTATTTGCAGCTTCTTCAATGGAAGCTTCTTGGTCGAAGAAGACCTAGCCACTGATTTTCCCTTGATTGTTTCAACAACACTTGACCTAGAAACTTTCATTGATTCGATTTATGTTGTTTTCTTTCTCACAATTCATCTTCTCTCAATCGTTTAAGCAGGCTTTGTTTTGCCCTCTTCTTTCTTAGCTTTGGATTTAACTCTCCCTGTTATGGATTTGGTTATGAATGTCCCTGCGACCCATAGTAAACTAGCTGACTTCTTTTGTAAAATCAGAAAAGTTATTTTTGGAAGCAGGTTGGTAACTGTAGTAGAATCAATCATGGGTTTTTAGTTGGGAAGAAACCGAACTAAGGGGAATTGAGAGCATAGTGGTTACAAACTAACTAAGGTTCAATGAAGGTATTTTGAATAGAGGTTTAGGACTAATGATGATAAAGTCATTAGAAAATGTTAATAATCAAATGCTTTCTTCTCTCACACATATATTAAGCACTTTCAAAAGCCCCAAAAGTTTTGTGTTCAAGTTCTAGTGGTAAGTGAAAAGTTTTTTCCAAAACTAGTTTATAGAGAGACATTCCAGTTAGGGTTTTATAGGCAGTCCTATATGGAGTAGCAATCCTATGGCTTATGTAGTATTTTTCAAGGACTCATTCCATCATGTTATTTACAAAATTGGTACCCTTATCACTAATCATAGCTCTAGGAGTACCAAATCTTGTGAAAACATGCTTATACGAAAAATTGACCACTGTTTTTGCATCATTAGTGTGGCATGTTGTAGTCTCTACCCATTTAGATACATAATCTACAGCTACCAAAATGTATTTATAGTTTCTAGACATGGGAAATAGTCATATAAAATTTAAGCCCCGTACATCAAAGATTTCAACTTCAATAATGCCATTTGAGAGTATTTCATGTCTTTTGGAGATGGATCCAACCCTCTGACATTCATTGCACCTTTTGACAAAGCTATCAGTATCTTGAAATAGGGTAGGCCAAAAAAATCTAGATTGTAGGACCCTGGTTGCAGTTCTATGGCTATCAAAATGACCACCATATGCAGTAGCAGCATTGCCATGCTACAACACTGCAAGCAGATCCTCATGAGGTATACACCTTTTAAGGATCTGGTCAACCCCTAATTTAAACAAAAAGAGTTCATTCCATAGATAACTTTTTGCATTACGAAGTAACTTTTTTCTTTGGTTTTTATTTAACTCTCGTGGTATGATCCTAACAACCAAGAAATTTGCAGTATCTGCAAACCATGGCTCTAGAATGTTGCAGCATTAAGAGTTGCTCATCTAGGAATTTTTCATTAGTTTCACCAGAACTTGACTCTCCTTTTTCTAACCTTGACAAGTGATCAGCAACTTGGTTATTTTATTCCCTTCCTGTCTACTATTTCAATATCAAACACTTGTAACAAAAACACCCAACTTATTAACCTTACCTTGGCATCCTTTTTAGAAATCAAATACTTAATGGCAGCATGGTCTATATGAACAATGACTTTGGTTTCCATTAAGTAAGATCTAAAATTTTCAAATGCAAAGACTACAGCCAAAAGTTATTTCTCAATGGTTGATTAGTGATATGTGTTGAGAGTTTAACACATAAAGCACTCTTTTTACGTCTTTCTAGTTATAATAATTTCTTTTCATTCTCACTTTGAGTCATTTTTATTTATTTCTTTATACATTTGTTATTATGAAGCTAAATATTGTGGTTGACTTGTTGATACTCTAGGAAGAAGCTAATGGAGAGTTTTTGTTAAACAGCAGGATGCTACAGCATTGGAGCAGCATCGACCTGATACATGCATAGCTTTTTGGAGGACTTATTGATTAAGCTGTTGCCTTTTTGAGTTAATGGAAGACAGTTGTAGATAGCTGGGTTTTGATTAAAAATATGAGATTTAAACTCTTGTTTGGAATATGTACTTTCTAGTTCCTCTATTTTTACTATATAACTAGTTTTAGGAAGCTTAGCCCTTAAGTTTTGTCTTTTTGTCTTTTAGTGCCTCCTTTGGGTATAAAAGGAAGGCTTTGGGTTCCCTCTTTGATCATCCATCACTCCATCTTTTCTTCCATTTTCCTCTCATTTGCTAGCTTTTGTAAACCCTCTCCAAGGGTGTTTTTAATTAAGTTCTTCAAGTTCTTCATCTTTTTCTTTATTTACTTTCTTGTCTTTTATTTTCCGTCATTTATTTTCTCGTCTTTTACATTTCCGCTATTTACATTCCATCATTTATTTTCCGCAATTTACATTCTCGTTATTTACATTCCCGTCATTTATTTTATCGTCATTTACATTTCCGTCATTTATTTTATTGTCATTTACTTTAAGCAATTTACGTTTATGTCTTTATTTTCCGTCATTTATTTTTTACTTTCCGTTATGAGTAGCTAAGCTTTTATAGCTTGGGTGTGAGACGGAAATGTGAGATTTTCAAACCAAACGAAAGTAGCTAAGTGTTTTGTAAACGACGTTCCATTGTTTCATTCGAGTTTTTATAAAACCAAGCACACTTCTTGACGGGTTGATCACTTGAAAGTGTTAAAGTGCGATGGACTTAGAGATAAGCCATCATTAAGCACGTCAACTTGGATGATATAAGAGGTAGACTTGAGAAAGTTGTCGACAAGGAGACTTGTCATTTATGTTTTTCAAAACGTAACTCCCGACGGGTTGGTCACTTGTTAAAAGTGTCAAAGTGTGATATATTCAGAGATGAACTATGAAGAACACGCCAACTCGAATGATATGGGAATCGACTCGAGAGAGTGATTTTTAACAAAGAGATTTGTTTAT